AATATTTTGATATTTTTAATATCAAAATTTTTTTTCTTTTTCTCTTAGAAAAAAGGAGAATCAAAGCATTTTACCACTAAAAAAAATAAAAATATTTAACAATAGTTATATGATAAATTTGATAAAATATTAATTGAACTAGAATAATATGTAACTTTTTTACAACTGTAATGGATATTTTTAATATCAAATTTTTTTTTTCTTTTTCTCTTAAAAAAAAGGAGAATCAAAGCATTTTACCACTAAAAAAAATAAAAATATTTAACAATAGTTATATGATAAATTTGATAAAATATTAAATATTTTTGACAATATTTTTTTTCTTACAATCAAAGTAGACATAAATAAATTTTTATACACTTTAAAATTAATTTTTTAAAATAATTTTAAAAATATGACTCATATTAACTTAATATTTTTTTAAAAACTATTATTTTTTATAATAACTCAAAACTTAAATTTTAATTTAATTTACAAAATTACACTTGTTTATAAGATTTGAGTACTCTCTTAGTACCGGCAATGACCTATCCCTTAGGTATAACTGTAAATCATATTGCATTTGATACAAGACGATGGAAAATTTTGTTATCATTTGGACGATTAAAAGCAAGGACAAAGTGGAGGTCACTATAATGGATAATTGATAATGAATAATAAATGGGACAGCCGAAGATCGGACTATAATATTTTGAGGAGGTTACCTAAAACATACAAATTAAATAATGTTAACGGTTACACATGGTACAAAAGCCGACTCCAACTTTAGCCTGCAATATTATATTAGCATTATTTGAAAGGAGACATGACATGACCTTTGGTTTTATAACTTTAGTCCATGTTAACATTGTACGTGGCACCAACGAGGAGTTGGATCAAGTGGCAAGCGACTTATTTCAGTTTAAATAAGATCTCGAGTTTGAGATATTGTGTACGCAGCAATCTTCGTTGGGAGACCCACCCACCATTCTAGTGCGCCACAGCTGGTCGAGTCCGGAATAGTCGGGGCGAAGCCCCGGATACCGGATGGGAAACCAAAAAAAAAACATTGTACGTGGCTCCCATGTATATTATTTACAGTCTAATTATATATATAGATAATTTTTTATATAAATTTTATATATTATTAAAAAATAAATATATTTAATATTAAATGTTTTAAATAAATAAATAATTATTTATTTAATAGTATATAAAATTATATTTAAAATAATAAAAAAATTATTTTAAAATTATTTTCTTTACTTTTATTGTAATTTCAAGTAAGATTCTTTTTTTGCGATAATATTGCTTAATTCAAGCGGTTAATTAAATTCACTAACTACTATCAAAATAAATAAATAAATAAATAGTAATTGGATTTTTAGATTTAGTGACGTCAAACTACATTTAGATGCATTTTTTTTCGGATAAATGATTCAAATATGACTCCTTATAAAATTATTCAAAAAAAAAAATAAATAAATAAATCTATTGCCTCTGCTGATCTGATTGCCACGTTTCACGTTGGATAAATTAACTAAATTAAGATATATAAAAGGTGGAAATGAAAGCATTTGCTTTTTGAAATATGGGTTCTCATCATTTACCGTGGCCTACTTCAAAAACTTTTGTCCCTTGAATGAATCTTCGAACATATCCTCTAAATCCTACCGAACTTAATTTCATGGACCATATATCAATCAAGCGATTGTAGTGTTCCCCACGCTTATTGCAGAAGCCAAATCCATCTTCGGCTAGGTGTTGGTTCGAGCCCAGCCCCCATTGTTACAAAAATAATGTGGTTAGGATATTATATAATTAACATTTATTTATTTAACAGTTTACTCAAGTGACAACATGTTTTTTCCTCACCAACATCACGTGGTTGTGTTTATTAATATATTTTTCCATTTTTGACCAGCAGGCACTCCATGACCCAAGTTAAATTTCCTTTTATCACCTTGAAGGAGATGCCATTGACTCTGGGAAACATGTCTCTTACCTAACTCACCTAAGCCCTTTTCTTTTGAAGCAAATGGTCCTATTTATCCCCAAGGAGTAGAAAGAAACAAAAATGGAAAAATGGTGTATTATCTTTTAGCTTTTTTCATAAATCGATCCTGACTGTTTCAATTCATTTTCAGTTAAGCCCTCAAGACATCTTTTGTTTACACTTATATCCTTGTTCATCCTGTTCCATTAAATTAAGCCTTTTAAACATATTTTGACCATTCTTGAAAATTGATTTTTGTTACTATTTTTTTTTCTTCTTATTAATTAATTCCCTTGTCTATCTTTCGCAAAATAATCTTGAGTTCTTTTTTCGTTTAATTAGGCCCTTTTTTCCCTCTTATAGACTAGTATATTTTTTTTATCTTGCTCCCTTGATGATTTGATTTAATGACAAAAATATTAAGCAATAAGTGCTTTGCCATGTGAATATTTAATTATCCACATTAACAATTCCATTTTTGGGAATCTTCTAAAGGGAAAAAACCACACGTGTGACATCAGCAACAAAAGTAATCTCACAAATCAACTTGATTTTTTTAAAAGAAAAAAATACAAAGATGACAATTAATGAATAAAAAAAATAAAGGAATTTGAAGAATTTCGCATTTTTTAAAATAAATAAATAAAAGATGAGATTAACCTTTAATTTTGAAGCAGGGATGTTATTGCACTTAACCATTTATGTCATTCATTGCACTCAATCAAGATAAAAAAAAAAAAAAAAA